TTACTCTCATCAACTTAATTTTTAATCCAGAGTGATACTTTTGGGAGAATTTAGACTCTTATCATTCTTAGCGTGTAAAGGGTTAAAATCCTCCTGACAAGATTCACAAACTTGTATCTTAAAATTGTAGAATCTAGGAGTGTTTCATTTATTTCTTGGTGTAAGTTTCCATCATTAATGACTCTAACATGTTTCTGTACCATTTAAGGTAGCTCCTTTAGCCAATGACTGACAAACATAACTGGATGTTGCTACACCTTCACCAGGAATCCAAAGGCCTCCCTGAAAAGGAAGTAAGCACCATTGATTTTATTCAACAAAACTCTAAACTCCACCACCAAATCACAATTACCAATCATTATATTAATAGCAGGTTTGAGTGTATGTAAGAGTAACAATAGCTTGTGGTCTATTTTATTTTAGATCCAAGGTTTGTGTTTTTCAAATATACATTTCCAGACATTTACAAGTCAATCTGTGACAAATTGTCAACAGATGCAAATTTTTTTCAGCATGAAGGTTGTTACACTGCAATAGTTAAATGTCTTAATTATAACTCACCAGCACGTCATCCAACTTCATTTCCAGAGGGAATAGGTTCTGTATTTCTTTTGTTGACAACATTTCACAGTCAACATTCAAAGTTCTTAAATAAAAAAGATGATAAGTCAAGATGGGCACCATCTGATACTTCTGGTTAAGTTAACTTTCTGCTGAATTTTTCATTTGTTTTTTAATATGAAAGGCCAAAGTCAAAGGATATCTCTTCAGTAGCTGGTTTGCTTGTTGTTGTGTTAAAGTTAACTTTGCTGAACTTTTTCCTTATTTTTGAATGTGAAAGGCCAAGGTCAATCTCTTCATTGGCTGGTTCACTTGTTGATATGTTAAAGTTAACTTTGCTGAACTTTTTCTTTATTTTTTAATGTGAAAGGTCAAAGTCATTCTCTTCATTGGCTGGTTCAACTTTCTGTCTGTGGCACTTTTTCCTCATTTTTGAATGTGAAAGGCTGAAGTC